CGGGGGCCCCCCCCAGCCCCTCCCGGGGACAGCCCCCGCCCGGAGCCCCCGCACCCAGCGGCGCTGTCGCTGTCCAGGGTCCTGCAGCGGCGCTGCCCGCCCCGGGCCCGGCCTCGGGGCAGCGACACGGCGGGGACACGATGGGGACATGGTGCGGGGAATACGAGACCCCTGCAGAGGACCCTAGGGCTGCCCCGGGCCGGTTCGGCCAGAGGGGCCCCGTGGGTGGCTATGGAGGTGAGAGGGTCTGTGAACGGGGGAGTATGTGTGTGTTTGGGGGTGGGCGGGGCATTGAGTGTGAGAGTGTGTGTGTGCCCCAGGCTGCAGGGGGCTTCTGTGTGTGTGTGTGTGTGTGAGTGTGAGTGTGTGTGCCCCAGACTGCAGTGGGGTTCTGTGTGTGTGTGTGTGAGTGCATCTGTGTGTGCCTCAGACTGCAGTGGGGTTCCCTCTGTGTGTGTGTGTCTGTGTGCGCCCCAGACTGCAGTGGCGTTCCCCCTCTGTGTGTGTGTGTGTGTGTGTGTGTGTGTGAGTGTGAGTGTGTGTGCCCCAGACTGCAGGAGGGTTCCCTCTGCATTTGTTTGTGTGTGTGTGAGTGCATCTGTGTGTGCCTCAGTCTGCAAGGGGGTTCACTCTGCACGTGTGTGTGTGTGTGTGTGAGTGTGTGTGCCCCAACCTGCAGTGGGGTTCCCTCTGTGTGTGTGTGTGTGAGTGTGTCTGTGTGTGCCCCAGACTGCAGTGGGGTTCCCTCTGTGTGCTTTCACATGTGAGTGTGTCCATGTGTTCCCCAGACTGCAGTGGGGTTCCCTCTGTGTGTGTTTGTGTGTGTGTGAGTGTGTCTGGGGTTCCCTCTGTGTGTGTGTGTGTCTGTGTGTGCCCCAGACTGCAGTGGCGTTCCCTATGTGTGTAAGTGTGTCTGTGTGGGGTTCCCTCCACGTGTTTGTGAGTGTGTCTGTGTGTGCCTCAGGCTGCAGTGGGATTCCTTATGTGTATGCATGTGTGTGAGTGTGTCTGTGTGCGGCCCAGACTGCAGTGGGGTTCCCTCTGTGTGTGTGTGTGTCTGTGTGGGGTTCCTCTGAGTGTTTGTGAGTGTGTCTGTGTGCGGCCCAGACTGCAGTGGAGTTCCCTCTGTGTGTTTTCACATGTGAGTGTGTCCGTGTGTTCCCCACACTGCAGTGGGGTTCCCTCCGTGTGTGTGTGTGAGAGTGTATCTGTGTGTGCCCCAGACTGCAGTGCAGCTCCCTCTGTGTGTGTGTGTTTGTAAGAGTGTCAGTGTGTGCCCCTGACTTCAAGACAGTCCTGGGGTGTTTCCTCTGGGGCCAGGGTGCCAGGGAGTGAGACAGCTAAGCCCCGGCACAGAACTCCTGCAGCCACAGCACAGCCCAGCCGAGCCCACCAAGAGTGGGATCGATGCAGCCTTAATTGGGGTCTCGTGTCCCCTGTCACTGCCAGGCAGCGCTGGCTGCAGCTCATTGAGTGCCTGGGCCCCGGGGAGCCGGGAGGGCACACGCGGGCCCATGTCCCCACTCGTTACACAGCTCAGGGGGTGATGTGTGTTGCCACGCTCCCTGGGGGGCTTGGGGACACAGCTGCTGTCACCTGAGTAACCAGCCCTGATCGATGCCCGCTTCCTGCATCCCGCAGGGACCGTAATTGAGCGGGATGGAGGAGACGGGGGATGCGGGGAGGATGCAGCCTAGCAGGAGGAGGGCTGGATCCGGCCTCAGCGCCTCCCTGGGGGCAGGTGGCCGTGGCATCAGTGTGCCACCAGCAGGCTCCAGGGATGGGAAGAGGGTCAGAGCCCCCCTCTCAGCCTCAAGTAGCAGGGGGCAGAATTGCTGTGCACTATGTTGGGCTGCAGGCAGCCAGTGCTGTGGCTTCAGCCCCATTCCAAAGCTCTCCTCAAGGATGGGACTCTAAAGGGTAGACGTCCTTCAACCCCAAAGCCCCCTGGGTGCTTGAGTCCCAGGACTGGTTGAATTTCTCACCTTGGGAAGCGGGTGGGTGACCTGTCACCCTCTAGCAAGGGCATTTGTGTCTTTGTGGGCATCACCCATCACGCTGGGCACAGGCCACATTAAAGCCAGAAACCTCCTATCAGCAAGGTGTGCACAACCCCCAGCCCTTTCTGCAGCCCCCAGCCACTTCTGCTAATGAAGGCATTTCTAATTGTCACCTTTGTGGAACAAAGCGCAGCTCTTCCCCTCTGAAGATCCCTCTTACACAGCCCAGGTATCGATCCCTGGGAAAAAAGGCAGAGCACACAGAGCCTCAGCCGGCTCTTCCTGCTCTGCGCGGCTCCCCCAGGGAGATTTGGGGGGCCATAGGGGTTGTTGGGACCCTGGGGCACCCCACAGCTCCTTCCTACAGCCTGTCAGCCCTGTACAACCCCCCTGTAGGAAAACATCTATAAGGACAAGGTGGTTTTAGGGCACGGTGGGTTTTGCTTTTGGCTAAGAGTCCCCAAGGCCATCCAGCCTGTGTTACCAGCCATGCTAACAAAGTACTGGCTATTAGCAGATGGTTTTGACCTAAGAGCCTGGCTTGGCACCTTGACAGAGTGTTCCCTGGTGCCTGGGGCATGGCAGTGCCCCTCACTCAGCACCTTCGAGGGACAGGGACTGCCCTCCAGCCTGGGGCAGCTCTGGCACTGCTGAGGCTACACCGGCATGATGGGGCAGTGGGCAGGCTGAGCCCTGCGGTGCAGGGAACACCACCAGGTGCTTTGGAGGCTCCTGAACTTCTCCCTCTGCAGTTTAGAAGGAGGCTCTGGACTTCTCCCTGTGGTGGATGCTGCTACCACGAACTCACCTCATCCCTGTGAGAGATCCCTGTGGTTGTGAGAGCCGGTTGCCGGCAGCAGTGGGGCTGGGGCTGGCTGCTGTGCTCGTTAGCGTCTCACTTTTTAGCGAGCGCCGTGGTCGATAGGAGAAAGGTGAACCCAGGCGGGCTGAAGCCTGGGGGGAGGCCTGCAGCAGCCTCCTGGATTTCAAAGGCCCCCGCATCCACACGGCCCACAGATCGCTATTATCAATGCCTTTTTAATGTATATACCCCGGCGCCTCTTTCCTGGAGGACCACGCCGGAACGAAGCGGCCATCGACCGCCCGGGGGTGGGCGGCGGGAGGCCTTGCATCGCCTCCCTCTGCAGTGCAAATCACCATCGACCGGCTGCGGCCTCCCCTCCTCGCCTCCGAGAGGGCCTTCGCGCCTCCCGTCCCCCCCTCCCCGGCCCTTCTCCGCCCTCCATCACTCACCCCTTCCCGCCCCGGCCTAGCTCCGTCTCCACGGCAACGGCGGCCCTTAGCAACGCGCCGCCATGGCAACGGGGCAGGGGCGGGCCGGAAGAGCTGCGCGGCTCCTTCCGGTCGGCGGCAAGATGGCGGCGGGGGCGGTGGAGCTGCAGCGGCTGCAATGGCGGTTGGAGGAGCTGGAGCGGCGCGTCGGAGGCGGCGACGGGGCCTGCGGGACGCGGAAGGTGCCGGGGGGGGTTCGCGGAGACCGGGGGACGGCTCTAACCCCTCCGGGGAGCCGGTCCGGGCTGCCCCGGGCCCGGCGGGGTCTGACAGACCCGGGCCCGGCGGGGTCTGACAGGCTCGTCCCTTTCCTCTCTGCCCTCTGCAGGTGGCGGACGAACTGGTGAAGGTGCAGGTGGCGCTGAGCAATATCGCCGGCAAGCGGGAGAGGATCAAAATCCTGTTTAAGAAAAGTGAGCGGCCTCGGGGAGGGGCGAGGGAGCTCTGCAGCCTTGTGTGGCATTTCGCTCCCCGAAACAGAAATCCCTTCACCCCTCCCGGTGTGATCCCCTTTGATTTTTGGGCTCTTGTTTTGCGTATTTGGTAGAAAAATAAGTAACTGAGTGCGGTTTTTCTACTGGCAGTTCTCCCCCTGGGCTGTTCGGGGTGGGAAATGGGCTCTGTTGTTTGCTTGATGTCTGCGTGTGTGAGTGTAGTTACTTGCTCTGCCTGAAGTACAGGCCTTAAGGGTTGTCAAAGCTCCCGAGATGAGATCTTGCATGCTTGGACTTCCTGGGCACGCTAGAGCAGCTCTCTCCTATCTCTCTACCTGGAAGGAAGCTGTAGCAAGGTGGGGGTCAGTATCTTCTCCCAAGTAACAGGCGATAGGACAAGAGGAAATAGCCTCAAGTTGTGCCAGGGGAGGTTTAGATTGGATATTAGAAGAAAACTCTACACCAAAAGGGTTAGCAAGTATTGGAACAGGCTGCCCAGGGAAGTGGTGGAATTGTTATCCTTGGAGGAATTTAAAAGATGGGGAGATGTGGTGCTTGGGGACATGGTTTAGTGATGATTTTTGTCAGAGTTAGGTTGATGGCTGGACTCGATGATCTGAAAGGTCCCTTCCAACCTAGACAATTCTGTGATTCTATGCATAAGGATCAGCCACTGGTGGACAGATCTGGGGAGCTGCTTCTGAACTGGGGGATATCAGGAGCAGACACCGGAGTACTGCTTTTGTGTCTTGGCCAAGTTTTGCTGTCTGGTATCACAGAAGGAGCAGGCTGTAGGGAGGCTTGTTGTGGTCCAAGGCTGTGGTGGCTGTTCAGTATCAAAACATAAATCATGTATTTATTAAATGATTTTAAGGACCTGGGCGGGGGGGCTATTGGCTGGTTTTGTTTCGAGGACAGGAGGATGCAGATTTCACCCACTTTTATTATCATTATCCAAAAGAAAAGCAAATGTTGCGTGCGTATGTGTAATGAAGTAGTTACTTGGCTTGAGCTGTTTGTCAGTTCTTGGTCACAGTGCTCCAAAGTCACATATTTTCAAGTGCTATGGAAATTCATCAATCTGAAAAAACCCATGGGCAGTGTTTACAAAGTAACCTGATGTATAGCACGGGGGGAAAATTGCACTTGTGAATGCAATAATGTCTCTCCTTTTTGTCTCCGAACCTATTTTTCATTCTAGTTGAAGATGTAATAAAATACCTTGACCCTCAGTACATTGATAGGATGGCTGTCCCAGACGCCATGAAGCTGCAGTTCATCTTGGCAGGTATGGCATGAAATGAGAGGAGACGGGGGAGGCTTTTTAGCCCTGCAGAAGTTGTCTTTTACTTAAGCTGGATTGGGATGGATTTTTTTAATTTGTGAAGATCTGGCAAGGCGCCCTCTCTGGAGCTCTCGGAGAGATGGGCTGTACAAGGGCATCTGTCAACCTTAGTGCTCCCCTGTGCACATCCACACTGCAGTTTTGTCAGTTCTGATCTCTCTAGTATTTTTTAGTATCGGTTTTAGTATCATTTAGTGTCAGTTTAACTCTGAATTAATAAAAGGTTGAGAGGAAAAAAATGGAGCGAGAACACAATTTTCCTCACCGTGCTCCCAATAGTTTCTGTGTGAAAAAATGGGAGACCTTTGGATGTGTTCTAAACACCTTCCACCCTTGTCCCCTTTTGCCCCAAAGAATTTGGTTCAGCCTTCTGTTGATGCAGTCTGTGGATAAACCTTTGTGGTGGTTCTTCTGCGTTAAATTGGTGTGAACCAAGGTCCAGGGACACTAAAATTCTGTACAGATAGATCAGCTGGAAAATTCAGCTCACCAGTATTTGTGAAAAGCCAAAGCAGCGTCTTTCATTCACTGATGTTGTTTCTTGTCCTCCCCCGACCAGAGGAGCAGGTTATTCCTTCCCGAGCAGCCCTTCTGGAGCAGGTGAAGAACCTCCAGCCCATCTTGGACAGTACCAGTATCCAAGGTACGCGTGGTTTTCTGGAAGATTGAGCTGCAAATGCAACCCCCAAGCTGCTGTCTATCCGGTTTTCTTTTTATTTTTTTTTTAATTTTATTGAGCCTCAGAGTTGAGGACAGCTAAACACACAACCTGGTGTGAGTAAATTAGGTAGAAACAAAGTATGTCCGCTTCTCCCTCGTGCTGCTCTGACATCCCCTCCAGGGTCAAGGAGGTGACAGAGTAGGTCGGGAAGCAGGTTGGAGACATCAGCTTGGCAGGGAGGGTGGTGACTGGTGGCTGGGCACTGTGCACGGTCACCAGGCTGTGGAGCCACTCCTGCCTAAGAGCTCTTCTGTGGCCAGAACATCCCTGCTCCTGGGGTTAGGCGGGGATGCCTTTTTAATCAATTCCCTTACTGTTCATCCAGGTAGTTTACTCTGCTGTAGGCATCACTGCAGGCATCCCCCGATTCATGCCACCCAGAAACAGTTAGCAAATAAACTTGGTATTCAGTATGCAGGGTAGGTTGGGGGGGTTGCATGGTATAAAAGGTGTGTTGGTGGTGCTTGCACTCAGTCACCAGCGTGCTGCTGTGATGCGCTCGTGGAGGAGGAATTGTCTTTACTTGGGTAACTTAATCCCACGTGATGTAAACAGAAGTGGATTTCTCCTTTGTGCTTTCAGCGGTTCCTGACCACGCAGCCAAGCTTCAGCGACTGTCTCAGATCCACATACAGCAGCAGGTAGCGTGAACGGTCCCACCAGCCTTGCCTAGTGGGGATTGTCAGCAGCTCTGCCGACAGCCCTGTGTTTGCAGTTGCTTGAATTGCTCATTTATAGCATGTTTATTTTCGAATCATGTTTTCGTGCTGCAGTTGGTAGGCGGGGGAGGGGTGGGAAGGTGGAAACCAGGCAGGATTTCTGACAGTGGAGTCTGAACTGGAGAAGCTCTTTGCCTGCCATAAGCCCGTTCGAGATTGAGGTTTGAGTGATGCTTAATTAGCGGTGGTGGGTTTAACCAGCGGGCAGTCCCCCCCTCACTGGGACCCTGAAGTGAAGTGCTGCACTCTGCCAGCGTCCCACTCCTGGAGGGCTGTGGATATTGTCACCTTGTCTCTTGGACCTTTTCTTTCCCCTTCGAGTGCTCCTGGAGCTGGTGATGAATGGCCTGGGCAGCACCTAATGTCCCCTGTCAGCGTTTTGCTGTGAGGACAACCAAAGTGTGGATGCTGAGGACAGGGCAGGCAGTAGTGCAAGCTCAGGAGCTTCGCTGCTTCATGAGCTGGAGCGTTTTTAATGTTTCTCTTGCCCGCTAAAACCCTTACAGCTGCAGTGGGTGGCCACGGCATGACCTCAGTGGTGGCCCTGGGCAAGTTTCCCCCTGTGCTGTTGGGGACTGGGAGGACAGATGTCCTTCAGCTGATTGTCTGCTCACTCACTGTGGCTCCCTTCTTCGCAGGAACAGCGTCAAGATCTGACCGAGGGTGTCAAGACGCTCCTCGAAGACTACAACAAAATGGTATCCTTTGATCTTGGGGCTGATACAGCCATGCGGCCCGCCTGTCTCCTGGGCAGATGTTGTTGGAAAACATGCAATTCCCAGCTCTGTGTTTAATGGCCAGTGCCCTTTCTGTCATGGTGACTCTCCGTCATACTCCCCTCGGGAGTAGCGGGGCAGGAGGGAGCACTGCAGCCTGTGTGCTGCTGCAGCTCTCCACCAGGTGGCTGCTGGCCACTGCCACCTCCTAAAGCCACACAGTGGCTAATCCTGGCCACGTAGGGTCACAGTAAGACACCTCCTGGAACCACAGCAGGTGGGGCAGGTCTGCTCTTTCCTGCAGAAAGCTCCTTGAAATGCAGCGCTTGGAAGTGCCTCCTGGGAGGGGATAGTTCTCCCCCATGGTTCCCATGTCCCTTTCCTCTGGAGAAGAGAAGGCTGAGGGGGGATCTGATCAATGCTTACAAATACTTAAAGGGTGGATGTCAAGAGGATGGGGCCGGTCTTTTTTCAGTGGTGCCCAGTGACAGGACAAGAGGAAATGGGCACAAACTTGAATATAAGAAGTTCCATCTAAACATGAGGAGAACTTCTTTCCTGTGAGGGTGACAGAGCCCTGGAACAGGCTGCCCAGAGAGGTGGTGGAGTCTCTGGAGACATTCAAAACCCGCCTGGAGATGCTCCTGTGCAACCTGCTCTGGGTGGACCTGCTTTGGCAGGGGGGTTGGAGTAGATGATCTCCAGAGGTCCCTTCCAACCCCATGTGACTATGTGATTCCTTAAAGAGTCGCCTCCAGACCCTGCTTCTCTCCAAGCAGTTTGTCCAGTGGAACGAGATCCTGACGCGGCTGGAAACGGCCAAGGATGTGAAGCCCTTGGCGGAGTGATGGCGGAGCCGGAAGCCTGGAGTTTCCTCCAGGGGGGATCCCTCGGGTCGCTCCGGAGCGGCCGCAGCACAGCTTGCACCCCGTCTCCTCGGCCTCTTCCCTCCCCGTCTCGGCGTCACCCTGCTGCGGGGTGACATCACCCCCTCGGCCCCACGCCGGCAACCGCGCTGCTCCTTCCCGTGCCACGCGTTCGGGTCTGTGACGTATTTAAAAGGTCCCTCTGCTCTGGCGGACGGCAGTAAAGTTCCCCAAGCGCTGACTGCGGTGTGGTGTTCTTCCTCCTCCGCGGCCCCGGTAAATCCCCGTCCCGCTGACGTCATCCCCGCTGACGTCATCCAGGGTGGAGGGGGGTGTCCCTTTGTCCCTTCCCAATCCCTGACCTCCCCTCTGCCCCACCTCGCAGCCTGTCGTGTGTCCCATTCTCCGCACCGTTCTGCTCCGAGGTGCCCTAGCAGCACCCCCGTGACGTCACTCCCGCCCCGATGACGTCATGGCGGTGACGCATGGGAGAGCGGTGCCGCCTCCCTTCCTTCCGCTCGCGCCTGCGCGCTCTGTGCGCCGGCCGCCATCTTGTGGCGAGGGGCGCGCTGAGGCGGCCGCAGGTGAGAGCCCTTCCCGCACCCCCAACCCCCTCCCGCTCCGCACACACACCCGTTGGCTTCTTCCCTCCTCCCCCGGTAGCCGGTCCCCGGTCTCCGTCCCCCACCTCCGCCCCTTCTCCGCCGCAGCGGCCTGGCCTTCCCCAGCGCCCCGTGGCACCAGCCTCGCCGGGCCCCCACACGCCCCGAGAGCAGCGGCCTCGCCGGGCCTCCCTCCCGGTCGCAGTCACCATCCCCCCATCCCCCGGTGGTGGCTCGGCCTTCCCTGCCGTCCCCCCCGGATCCCCACCCCCCCATGGCACGGCCCGGCGCTGCCCTTCCCCGTCGGAGCGGCAGGGATGGCGGCCGTGCCGTGCGTGCTTCCCGGGTACAGAGAGGGGCTGGGGGGACCTGCCCTGTCTGCACAGGGGGTGGGGTGCAGAGTGGTGGCCCGGGGTGGGACAGGGCTCGCAAACCCCCGGGTGACAGAACCCCACGTGCCTGGGCACCATGGGCTGTTTGTGGTGGGGAGGGGGGTTTCTCTGCACAGGTTAGGTGGGCCTGGGGGTGCCAGTAGAGGGACCCTGCCTTGGCAGAGAGGGGAGCGATGAGGTTGGGCTTGTTTGTCTTTCACTTACCCTCAGAGAACCCTTTTTTTGTCCATCGTGTGCCTTGCTGCTGTCCTGCCCACGTGTCTCCCGCCCACAACCCCTGACTTGCTGTCTGCCCGACGGCCTGCAGTGTTTTATCCTGTACCTCGTCCCTGGCCTTTCACCTAGGCTGGCCAGTTTTGGGGCTCAGAGCCCCATGAGCCTGTTTCTGTAACATACTCGAGCTGCTGTAGGTGGGCTGTGCCTGGGTTCATCATGTCCATGTTCTGGTGTGGTTTACAAGGTGCAGCCGTGGTCAGAGTTCTCTTGGCTTCTGTTGCAAATAACCTCAGCTTACTCCTTTATTCTCTGGTTTTCCCTGAGATACAGCCTGTATTTTTCATTTCATCCTGCTTAGGAAACAACTCTGTGTTCTCTTCACTGCCTGCCTGTTTGCACCAGCCTGCCCTCTGACCATGTTCATGCCGTAGTTGCGTGCTGAGGAAAACAGGGGCACAAGTGACTCCTCAGCATGAGTAAAACGTTCTTTCTGATCTTTTGGATATGCCTTTTCAGGCTTTTGGTAGCTCAGTGTGCCCTTTCGAGGAGATGTTCTCGCTGACTGTGGTGAGGGTTTGTTTATGCAGCCATCACAGTGGGAGTTTGTATTAACAGATCCTTTTTCCTTTTCAGCACTGCAGAATGGAGAATTACAAGAAGACCAAAATTGTGGAGAAACCGTGTCCCCTTCCTTTCACCGACCTGCCTCCTGATATTATTGAAATGAAAGTGAAGGATGGGAGCAAAATCAGAAATCTGATGGGCTATGCCATCGGCAAGATGGAGCTGGACTCGGTGAGGCAGATCCTTTTCACTGGCTCGGGCAAGGCCGTCAGCAAGACCATCACCTGTGTGGAGATCATGAAGCGAAGGCTCAAAGAGCTGCACCAGATCACCAAAGTGCTCTTCAAACAGATCGAAGAGATCTGGGAGCCCATTGTGCCTGAGGCAGGCCTGGATGCCTTGACGGTGAAGAGAAACATTCCTGCCATATGTGTCCTGCTCAGCAAAGATGCCCTCAACCCTCAGGAGCCGGGATACCAGGCTCCGGGCTCTTTCGACACCTTCTGGGTCGAGACTCTTAAAGCAGAGTCCCAGGGCCAAATGAAGAGGAAGCAGGGAGGAGGCAGGGGGGCTGCCAGCACGGGGAAGCACCCTCGCTCGGCTGGAGGAGCACCTGGAGAACCCTGCCCCAAGTCTTGAGGCGCCGCCGCGCCGCCTTTTGGGTGTAGTTTGGGGGAATTTGTGGAAACAAGCCAGCTGCTGTGGCTGGAAAGCTGCTGCTGAACACGGGGGCTTGCGGAGTTGTTAGGGGAGGGCAGGAGAAGTTAACTGTTTGCCGATGGACGTGATTGTAGCTGTCTGAAACTTGTGTCTCGACACCTTCCCTCGTCGAAGGCCGCTGGGCTGCGCTCCGTAGCCTGCGGTTCAGGGAGGACGGGAGCGTCTCAGCTTGAGCAAGGGCCGTGGGCATCTCCTCAGGGAGCCCTGATGGCAGAGGGGGGTTTTGGCTGCTCGGGGCAGCGCGGTAGCCCAGGCAGCAGGCACATGTGCCCGCTGGTGTGGCCAGTGGAGGTGGCTCCTGCTGCGGTGCGGAGGGGAGGTGGGACTCGACGTGGACTCCCCCGGCTGCCACCTGCGTCACCGGAGCTCAGCTCATCGGGGCACGGGGGCTGCTTTGGCCACTTCTTCTCTGCCTCAAAGTCCATCTGCTGCCAAGTCTGTTGGGTGGTGTGAGCGTGGGGCTGCAGTGGCACAGCTCCTGCCTGGGGCTGCATGCACATTGCACCCTTTCTGTCCTCCTCGTGCCTTGGTGGTGGAGCTGACAGCTACACCTCTCCCCACCGAGGTGGCAGGCACAGGCTCGGGGCATAACCAGCCTGAAATCCTGCAGCTGCGCCGGTGCCCTGGGGGTGTTGGTAACGGTAAGGTCCAGAGGACCCTGTTCTTTCCCCTTTCCGCTCCTTTTCGATGCGCACAGATGGGCTTGAAATAAAGTTTCCTCTTCATGCAAGCTGGAATTTGTCATGTCTTCCTGGCCCCGCTGGAGGTCACCCTGCCAGCGCTGCTGCTGGGGCTGCGGCTGAGACTTGGCTCTTGCAGCTCTCCTCGAGGACCTCGAGGACCTGCTCCTCCTCCGCATCCTTCCCTCTGGTGACTGTAAATGCCCCCTGGTTCCCGAGGGCGGGGGGAAGGTTTTCTTCCTGCCTTGGCAAGGTGGCTTTTTTTTTTTTTTTTTAAACTGGAAAGCTTTTTGGTGTTCTTTGTTTTTCTTTTCAACTCGCAAGAGCCGCACTCTCAAAAACACTCGTCCCAAGCGCTGCTGACTGAGGCAAAGGACAGAGCATCTTTTCTTGGGAATAGCTGAGAGCGTGGCCAGGTTTCTTTAAAGGCTTCCTCCTTCTCCTGGTGGTCTCCTTGCGCTCTCGGAGGCGTTCTAGGGTGGGAGGGGAAATGCCCAGATCCCTCTGCTCCTCCAGCACAGGTGAGACTGGGGACAGGGCAGAGTTAAGCCGATTTACCTCAGTGCCGTTTCGGGCTACTGCTCCCTTACATCTAATGAGGAGAGACTACCTTTCTCAACTAATTAGCAGATTAGCAATAAACGACGAGGAAAGGTGTTCGACTCTCTGGGGCAGCTCCTGACGTTGCAACAAGCAATGTGTGTTTGCTGTTAAAAGAGGGTCCCCTCCAGCAGCCAGTGTAATTCTCCCTGCTGGCAGTGGGGTGTTTAACCCTATCCATCTAAACGTGAGGAGGAACTTCTTGGCTTTGAGGGTGGCAGAGCCCTGGAACAGGCTGCCCAGGGAGGTGGTGGAGTCTCCTTCTCTGGAGACATTCAAACCTGCTTTGGCAGGGGGGTTGGAGTAGAGGTCCCTTCCGACCCCATGTGGTTCTGTAATGCCTTCTTGGCAAAGCGATTTTGGGGTTTGTTTTTGTCACGGTTTGAGTTACACTTGGCAACAGCACCCAGTGGATCCAGAGGTCTCCTGCTCCCGGGACCATGGTGCCCACCAGCCCCCAAGCATCCAGGAGAGGTCCCCAGCTCTCTTACGGACCTACTCTTCATCCCTTCCTTGCCCAGCTTCCTCCTCCCCCTGCCGGGCCGAGGACACAGCAGATCCCCCCCATGTCACTGTGGTGTCTGTGCCACCAGGAGGACGCGTGGTCCCACTGTGGCTTTTCAGAGCAGCTGCAGGTGCTGGGACTCAACCCTTGGGGGTCTCCCAGAGCCCCCACAGCCGCGGGGACGCCCCCATAGGTGCCACATCTGTGTCCTTAACCCAGCACCATCTCTCCATCGTGGTGACGCCCTGCACTGGAGCGTCCCTGGCTCTGGTCCCCTGTTGGGGTTGGTGGTCATGGCTTGGGGGGGCTGTGACATGCCCACACCCTGGGATGGGCTGCGCCCCCTGCCTCAGTTTCCCCAGGACAGGGCGAAGCCAGCTGTGGCTGCGAGGCCACTGCTGCCCACGTCCCCAGGGCACCACGTGTCCCTAAGTGACCCGTGTGTCCCCTCAACGCACTGGTGGGGCCTGTGCCCACCCCTGCCTGCCCGTGGCCCCCATGGCCCAGCAGGGACACCAGACCTGGGTTCTCTACACTCGGTGTCCTTCTGCCCCAGTGTGCACAGGGCCAGGGTGTGTGTGTGCGTGTGTGTGAGCGTGTGTGCACAGATGGGTACAGGGACAGGGCAGGGCGAGCGGGACAGGTAGGACAGGCAGGACGGGACAGGAGGACAGGACAGGAGGGACAGCAGGATGGGCAGGACAGGAGGAACAGCAGGACGGGCAGGACAGGAGAGACAGGAGGGACAGCAGGACGAGAAGGACAGCAGGACAGGACAGGAGGACCATGGGGACAGCAGGATGGGTAGGACAGGCCAGGAGGATCATGGGGACAGCAGGATGGGTAGGACAGGCCAGGAGGGACAGCAGGACAGGAGGGATAGGAGAGGAGGACTGTAGGGACAGGACCATAGGGACAGCAGGACAGGACAGGAGAGACAGGAGGGACAACAAGACAGGCAGGACAGGACTGGAGGGACAGCAGAACAGGACAGGAGGACCATAGGGACAGCAGGATGGGTAGGGCAGGCCAGGCGGGACACCAGGACAGGAGGACCGTAGGGACACCAGGACAGGAGGACTGGAGGGACAGCAGGATGGGTAGGACAGGACAAGAGGACCTGAGGGACACCAGGATGGGACAGGAGGGACAGCAGGACAGAAGAACCGTAGGGACAGCAGGACAGGAGAGGGGGACTGGAGGGACAGCAGGATGGGTAGGACAGGACCGTAGGGACAGCAGAACAGGCGAGACAGGACAGGACAGGAGGACTGTAGGAACAGCAGGACAGGACAGGAGGACTGAGGGACAGCAGGACAGGCGAGACAGGACAGGAGGGACAGCAGGACAGGGAGGATGGGACAAGAGGACCCGAGGGACAGCAGGACGGGACAGGAGGGACAGCAGGACAGAAGAACCGTAGGGACAGCAGGACAGGAGAAGGGGACTGGAGGGACAGCAGGATGGGTAGGACAGGACGGGAGGGACAGCAGGACTGGTGGGACAGGACAGGAGGACTTTAGGAACAGCAGGACGGGACAAGAGGACCCGAGGGACAGCAGGACAGGCAGGACAGGACAGGAGGACCCGAGGGACAGCAGGACAGGCAGGACAGGACAGGAGGACTTTAGGAACAGCAGGACAGGGGACTGGAGCCCCGAGGGACAGCAGGACAGGCAGACAGGACAGGAGGACCCGAGGGACAGCAGGATGGGACAGGAGGGACAGCAGGACAGGAGAAGGGGACTGGAGGGACAGCAGGATGGGTAGGACAGGACGGTTGGACGGCAGGACTGGTGGGACAGGACAGGAGGGACAGCAGAACAGGACAGGAGGACTGGAGGGACAGCAGGATGGGTAGGACAGGACCGTTGGGACAGCAGGACTGGTGGGACAGGACAGGAGGGACGGCAGGACGGGAGAGGAGGACCGCAGGGCCGGCAGGACGGGGCCCGAGGGACCGCAGGCCGGGGCGGGCGGTGCAGGGCGGGGCCGGGGCCGGGGCTGCGGCACCCACCGGGCGGCCCTTGGCGGGACCGCGCCGGGGTCCGCACCCGGGCCGGCACACCCCGCTCCGCGCCAGGACCCCGCGCCAGGACCCCGCGCCGACACCTCGCTCCCCACCGGGCCCGCTGCCCCGGGAAAGCACCGTCCGTCCGCCCGCCCGCCGGTGGGGTCCCGGCGGTTCCCGGGACGGAGAGGAGGCGGGGAGGTAAGGCCGCGGCGGGAGGGCGAGATCCGGCGGGACCTGTTGCTGCCCGGTGCCCCGCTGCGGGACGCGGAGGGGCTCCGCGGGGTCCCGCTTCCCCGCGGGGCGGGGGGGTTAGAGGCACCGGGGACCCCTCCACACAAACCGGGGCTCTGCCCGGCCGGGGTAAAACCCACCGGGCGGGGGGAGGAAGGGGGGTGCCCGCCCAGCCGCTTGCCCCGTTTCAGGGTGCGGGACCTCGCAGCGGGGTCCGGGGGGACAGGAGGTGGGCCAAGGCCACCCGGAGACACCCCGGGGCCGCCGCCGCGGGGAGGAAGGAGGGTTTGGGCCGGGGTGAAGCCGTGGGTCTTCCGTCTCCAGCTTGGTGGCCCTCGCAGGGGACAGGGAGGGGACAGGCAGGCTGTGGGGCACTGGAAAAGTGTGTCGTCGTCCCCCCCGAAACAGCAGCTGACCTGGGAGCTGCTGCAGCCCCCAGACTCCCTGGGTTCCTTTGTGGTTCCTGGGGTTGCTTCTGCTGGCACCCCCACAGCCCATCCTGAGGGGCTCAGGCAGCCTGTCCCCTTGTGCTGGCGGTGACAGTGACTTTCTCCCTTCCAGGTGCAGGAGGGAGGAGAGGGGTCCCGGTGTCCCCGCCGCCCTGCTGGAAGAGGGGAAGCGGAGGGAAAGCTCAGATTCACCCTTCCCAGCGTCGCGGTGAAGCCCAGGACACAGCTGCAAGTGGCCAAACCGTGACGGGACGATGCCATCCTGCCACCCGCCTGGCCCTGACCCCGTCCCGTCACCGGCACCGCTGCCATCCCCTTCGTCCCCCGCCAATGCCGGCGGGTAGAGGCTGCTCACCTGGCATCCCGAGCGTGGGGCTGAGACGTGGGCCCCGCTTTCTCCCGTGGGGCAGTGGCGATGGGGGCTGCTCTCTCCACCGGAGCGATCGTGGCAATTTCTTTTAACTGCGTGATCGCGTTGCTCATCCTCATCCTCTTCCTCATCCTCTGCAAGGCCTGCAGGACCCCCTCGTGCCCCAAGAAGAGCCCGGGTTCCGATGTGGACGAGGCAAAGAACGAAGAGAAGTACCTGCTGCAGCCCTGAGCTGCCGGGGGACCTGGGTGCCCGGCTGTGCTGAAGGAGTTGTGCCAGGCTGGATGCCAGCGCTGGGACTGGGTGGCTGGTCCAGGCAGGATGAAAGCAGGGGGGATACCAAGCCGCTCGCCGGGGCTGTGACGTGGGTTGCAGCCTTTCTCCTGCGTGGTTTTGGTGTGTGAAGTCCCTGCGGATGCCCACAGTGACCATGGTGATGGAGAGACAGCGGTCGGGGACGTGCTTGGCGGACAATCCTGCCTGTCCCAGCGGCCAGCGAGCGCAGCAGGAGCCCTGCCCTCGAGCACATCCCGTGTTCGGGGACAGCCCATGGGCTCCTCCCGGGTCCCTGTGGCCTGGGCTGGTGACCACCGTGTCACAGACCTGAGCTGGGCCAGCCGGGAGCTCGGAGAGGGGAGGCAGAGGGGCTGGCAGGGGTGCCTGTCCCCGAGCAGGCTGGTGGGATGTGCCTAGCGGGGGGGACCGTAGCAGCGCTGGCCCTGCTGGCAGAGCGGGTGTCTTTGGGGATGGCTCTGGGGTGTCGTGCGCCCCCAGCCTCAGGTTATTCGGCACCCATCTGTCCCAGCAGCCAGTTCAATGAGCCATGAGAGGGTCTGCATGGTCTGTCCGTTCGTCTGCGGTCTGTCTGTCAATCCCCTCCAGCGTTAGCACCAACACTGCCAGGCAAACCGCCCTCCTCCTCCTCCCTGGGCGCCTGTCCCTGCCTGCCCTCCTGCCTGCTCCCAGCCGAGGCCGGCCGGTGGGGTTTGGCCCGTGGGCAGCAGACGTGCCCTCCTTGGTGTCCCCATCCCCCCTGAGTGCAGCCTGGCATGGCTTGTTTCTGGGGAGGTGGGAGACATGGGGATAAGATGAGGGTGCCCAGCGTGAAGGGTCTTCCGACCCTGTTGCTCCCCGGGGACCAGAGTGGCTCCGCAGGGAAGGATGCTGGTGGTCTGCCTTGCCCCCGAGCCTGGCAGCTGCCTTCCCCTGCCCTGTCTGCAGGTGCTGTGGGTTTCAGAGGGCTCTGCCCTGCCCATCCTAGAGCTGAGCAATAGCCAAGGTTCCCTGCTGGCACAGCCGCTGCAATAAGGGGACAGAGGGGTGGGCTGTGCTGGGAGGGATGCTGGCCAGGTTCCCTGCGCGGTTCCTCCCCATGTCAGGTGTAGCTAATGCATCCCTTTGCAGAGGTGTTTTTACTAGACTAATAAACTGATTGTAGGACCGAGGCGGCGTCTCTGAGCTCTGCCCAGCACCTGGAAAATTTGGGGGGAGGCTGCGTGTCCTGCAGGGCTGAGGATTGGCCACCCCAGGGCTGGTGGTGATGCCTCTGCAGGACTGTGGGCAGTTTGCTGGGTGATGGCAACAAGGAAGCGCTCATGTCTGCATCCCTCTGTGGCTTTTGAATGCTGGATGAGAAACCTGGCTGGGTATTTTCATGCCCGCAGCGCATCTGCTTGGGTTGGGGGCACGGGGCTGTCATCAGGGAGCATCCCCCAGCCCCAGTTGTAGAGGCGCCGGAGAGTTTCCAAGCCGTGGCCTTAAGTTACAGGGGTGCTTGGAGGGGATGCAGGCCAGCTGAGCAGATGGAGGAGACCTGCCACCACCCCTGCCTGGAGGAACGAGTGCCTCTGGTCCCCAGTCCCAGCAGCTGTGTGTAAGGCTCCAGCGGTGGCAGCCCGTCCCTGGCTCATCAGCATGCGGCGAGGCCACCGCAGCTCCTGCTGCCACCGCAGCCACGCAGCAGCTAATCCCTCTGCCGCAAAGCACTGGAGCGGGGGGAAGGCTCTGAAAACCCCCGTGCCTGGCCCTTCCCGCAGCTGCCAGCCGGGCAGAGGCAGCCGAGCCCCACACTGAGCCCCTCTGGGAGAGGGGAGCTCAGAGCCTGCCAAAGCTGGTAGCCAGCAGCTGCTGTGATACCCTCTTTGTAGTGATGGCACATCCCTCTCCCACAGCAGCGGAGGGTCAGGCCAGGTCCCAGCCACCCTCTGGCTTAAGTTGCCACCCTAAAATCTAAGGGGCCATGCATGGCTGACCCCACACATGGCTGTGGGGCTGCAACTCTAGTGCTCAGTCTCCCTTGACACCACTCATGAGAGGGACTGGCTGCCATCGAGCTGCAGCCCTGAGGTTTCCCTAGGGCTGGTGGGACCAGCCCTCCCCTCCACAGGGCTCTCACCTGGTGCCAGCCCAGGAGAAGGGCTGTGTGGCTCTGGGGGACCAAGCCCTGTGAGGTCTGCCTGACCCTGGAGACAACTGCACACTGTGGCTCTTCCAGCACCTCCGTTTATTTGTCCAGGCACAGAGATAAAGTGTTCCTGCTATGCAAAGAGCGGGCGGCAACAGGCCCTGCAGCTTGCATGCCAAGCAGCCACCCATCAAAGCCCGGCTTGTTCAGCCAGCGGCCCCCGGCAGAGCCATTGTGTCCCCCCCCCTGCTCACTTCCCTCCGTTGATCTCTGGGTCTCTCACCAGGTTAAGCAGCTTGTCCAGCTTCGGAATTTCCACCTCGGGGCCCTTCTTAACCTCCTGGCCTTTCTTTGCCTGTGAGGAGAGGAAGCGGGGAGAGATGTGAGCAGGGAGGACCACGGCCATGGGGAGGGATCCCACACTGGGATGCTGTGTCCCGGCTCACAGCCCTCACCGGGGGCTGATCCACAGGGAGATGCACTTCACTGTCCTTGTGTTTCAAGGTCAAGGTGCCATCAGATGCGTAAAGGCCCCCATGGGCTGGGGAGGGGTGCTAAGGAAGGGTTTGGGCAGGGATGGGAGTGGATCTGTTGATCCACAGCGACACAAACACTCTTTTGCCTCTTCTCCCAGCCCTTTTCAGCCCCATGGGGCTGGACCACCCAGCTTTTACCCCTACACCCTGGGGTGGTGCCAAGCATGCACAACTCCCAGAGTAGTCACAGCAATGCAGATGTCCAAACCTCCCCAAATCAATCCCACCATGCCCACTGCATTCTGGTGCTCCTGGGGAGAGGCAGCCACAGAAGCAAGGGCTGGCCTTTTTGCACCCAAATGTGTGCCCCAGGAGGCCAGGTGGGCACTGACAGCCCCCAACCCAGTGGGATGAGTCCCATGTGGGCTGTTACCTTGTCACCGAGGATCTCTTGTGCCTGGGCACACCCCAAACCTCCCATGGCATGACCTGTGCCTGTGCCTCACTGCATGCTGCTGTGCCAACCCCAACACATGCATGGGCAGTGAGGACGATCCAAGCCCCCAGCTTCTCCAACACCTGTCTTAACCCTCCCAGGGGCTCCATCCCAAGGTACTAGAGCAGACCACCAGCATCCTGGGGGAAATCACATAGCATAAGGAGCATCACCTAAACATAAGGAGGAACTTCTTCACTGTGAGAGTGTTAGAGCACTGGAACAGGCTGCCCAGAGAGGTGGTGGAGTCTCCTTCTCTGGAGACATTAGAAAACTGCCTGGACAAGATCCTGTGCAACCTGCTCTAGGTAGACCCACTCCGGTGGGGGGGCTGGACTTGATGATCTCCAGAGGTCCCTTCCAACCCCATATGATTCTATGAGGGAAACAAGCCTGCCAAGTTCAGTCATAGAATCAGTCCTCGCTTTCCTGGGAGCAGCAGGAGCTTCCAGGCCTGGTGGGAGACAATGTCCCTGCTAAGGGTACCAGTGCAGTATCTGCTGTGGGCTGCAGCATCAATGCATTGCTCGGGGGCTTTGGGAAAGTGATAACCATGTTTGGACTCTCCAGGTATGCATCGTGGCACACACAGCTGCAGCAGAGGAATGTTCCAAGCTGCCTTCAGCCAACCAAGTGCTCCTGCAGCTGAACATCTGCCCCACAGGGTTCTTCCAAAAGGGCATCCACATCCTGTCAGCTCAGTGCTGCCTTCCACTCACAGCCTTCCCCTTTGCCAGCCTGCCACCTCTCGCTTTGCCTCTGGATTTGGGGAGGGGGCTTTGCTCTGGGTCTGGGAAGCTCCTCTGTGCCCAGCGTGGCTCTGGGCACCCCAGAAAGAAGATGGGTCAGAGGGCTGGTAGCCAGTCTGACAGGCAGGCTCAGGAGGAGTGGCAGCAGGTCCCCAACACGGTGGTACAGCAAGGGAGGGAAGCATCATCAACCGGGCTTGGAGGCAGCCCATGGAAAACTGCTGTGCTGGGCCCACCTGTCCTCTCCAAAGCATGGCCTCTGCATGGGGATGCTCTCGGGAGGCCGAGGGAGCAGCACGCAGTGTCTGAGCAAGGAGGCTGCGTGCTTTCTTCCCTCCCTGCTTAGAAGAGATCAATTCTCCTCCCGCTGAATCAGTTCCTCTAATGGCCCTGGGTGCAGCAATTACAAACACACGCCTTTCCTTCGGCGCTGGCACAGCAAAGTTGTGTGGCTGTGGAGATCTTACCACATTTCTCCAGCTCGTGTGGGCATTGCTGAAGATGATGAAGGCTGGGAAAGAAGTCCCCAGGGGATCCCCGGGCTGCTCCCTCATCCCAGCCAGCACAACCCTGACAGAGCAGAGGTTTGCTCAGCCACCGGCAGGCACGGCTGGGGTGAAAGCAGCCATGGGGAGGGGAACGGGGACATTTGGAAACACTTCTGCTTCTGAGAAGACAGCCCCACTCCTCGACCAAGTGCTGGGACGAGCCAGGGTTGGTTTTCTTTAACGAGTCCATGGACTGGATGCTGGGACAGGGCTGATTTGTATTAATGGCGCTAAGTTAGCAACGCCCTTCGTGTCTCTGGTCCGGGCACGGGGAGCGATGTTTGTACTAACGGCCCACGTCACAGCCGAGCATCTCTGTGAGTGAGAGCGTTGGGATAAACACAGCTGCTCGGGGTATTTCAGGACTTAGCTATTTCTGCAGAAAAGCAGCTTTGCTGTCTGACGGCATTCAAAACACTCCCCTCGGCACCCTGCATCACACACAGCACCATCCACAGGTCCTTTGGACAGGCTAAAGAGGCAACTGCTTCGCTCATCTGGGAAAAGGAGATGCTGAAGCCACCTCCCATCGACCTATCTCCATCCCAAGCCCTTTGTTCTCCCCACTGGTAGGCTCAGGGAGGATCCCTGACTGGTGCCCTCCAGGTAGTAACGCCAGGTCCATGGGAACCATGTCTGAAGCTTGTTGAAGTCCCCAGCTACAGGCAAGGCTCAGCTCCTAGTTGCCGAGCTGTCCCTAAAACCCTGACTTTCACACTGGCTCAGCTCCTTTGGTGCTTCTGAGCAAGCTGCAAAAAAGCCACACGCAAGCTTGTAATGAGCCGTAACCGAACCAGAGCCCTAATTTAACGCCACATAACCAGGCAAGCAGGATGACACAGGGAAGGAAAATTATAATGTCCTTTCCAGGGCACTGGAATGGAAAGTTTCCCTTTGTTCCTCCATCTGCTTTTCCCGGGGCAGCTGTGCATGTGAGCTGGCTGGGCTGCTCCAGGCGGGCTGATGGCACCACCCGGTACCACGGCATCCACTTAGATGTAGGCAGCAGCTTCCTACAAATCCAGGGGCTTTGCCAGCATCAGGCCTCCGAGGAGAAGCCCCTCTTGGAGCAGAGCTGTTGCCATTTCCCAAAGCATCACCTTCCCATGTGGCTGCTGATGGGCTCTCCCTCCCCACGCATGCCATGGCCACGCATGGAGGGGGCACTCATGGGGCTCTGCAGCTGAGCCCATCTTCCACCTACATCCCTCTTCACACCGCATCCATGGGGCTCATCGGGAGCTGGGGCAGAGCATCCCTCCCACGATGCTGACAGATGCAGAGCTGAGCTTACATGGGAGGTCTGTCCCCGAGGAGTCCATCAAACGGGTACCCGAGCCGCTCACAGCAGCATTTGCATTGATTTTGTCATTAGCAGTTCCCAGCAGGAGAGCAAAATGCTCTTGGCTTAAATGGTGATGAGGGATGTGTCAGGAAAGCTCATGGCAGGGCCAGAATATGTGCTGCGTGGGGATGGACTCTGTCCTGCTGACAGAGCACGACCCCAGGGAGGTGAGATGGGGAGGAGACCCGCTACATATCCCCATGCTGCTGTCCTCACAGCCGAGTACCCCACTGCCCTCATGCTCCCTCTGCATCATGCCTGGGCTCTGCTCTGGCTCTCCAGACAGGGAAACTGAGGCAGAGGGCTCCTGGCCCTGCTGGCAGGGTGGGCACAACTGCTGCAAGGACCTTGATGGTCCTCTCAGCCCCAAAGGTGATTACCAACACTGGAAGCAAAGCAGGGGAGGTGGAAGATGACTGAGGTGGAG